AAAAAAAAAAAAAAAAAAATGCACCAGCTCAGGTGTATGTGGCTGGGGCCTTAGCCGCTTGAGCCACAGGCACTGAGCTGGAAGGTATTTACATTAGTAGGCAATTTCCACACAAAAGGGACTGATTAACCAGAGGCATAATTCATTTTAGCAAATTATTTTGTTCCCACAATAAAGAACATAACTAACTGAAAAATAAGAGCAATTAAAAAATACAAAGATAATCAATAATGAAAGACAAAATACATTCTGTCCTTTTTTTTTTTCTTGAGAGTCTCACTTTGTCGCCCTCAGTAGAATGCTGTAGCATCACTGCTCACAGCAACCTCTAACTCTTGGGCTTAAGTGATTCTCTTGCCTTAGGCTCCCAAGTAGCTGGGACTGCAGGCGCCCACCACAACACTCTCGGCTATTTTTTGTTGCAGTTCTCATTATTGTTTCAGCTGGGCGGGGCCGGGTTCTAACCTGCCACACTTGGTATATGGGGCCAGGGCCCTATCCACTGAGCCACAGGTGCTGCCCACATTCTGTCCTTAATAATATATCACCTAAAGTTGAAAGCGATCTTTGTATGTAGGTCATGGTCCAATTTCATTTTTTTTTTTTTTTAGTAAGGAAAGCCCAGCATCACTACACAAGGTAATAGTAAACATAGCACTAAAATGTGGGTCTTCCTGCTCTCAGTTTAGTGCTATTATTGTTGTTTTTCATTATGGGTTTTGAGGGTGCATACGACTAGGTCACATCATTTGTGTTTGTAAGGTAAAGTCCAAAGTCTGAGCTGTACATGAATCCTTCACTCAGGAAGTGTGCAATCTACCCCCTATTCCTGAAGGATGGAAACTCACTGAGCCCCCTTCCTTCCACCCTCTCCCCACTTCTCGAATTTAACTGGTTTTCTCTCATGTGGTTCTGTAGTTGTTGGTAGTGCTACTATGATACACTGCCACAATTTAAAACAGCAAGGTGGTATGGTGGCACATGCCTTATAGTCCCAGCTAAGGGAGGCTACGGTGGAAGAATTGCTTAAGCTCAGGAGTTTAAGGTTACAGAGAACTATGATTTTATTTTTGAGACAGAGTCTCACTTTGTTGCCCTCAGTTGAGGGCTATGGCATCAGAGCTCACAGTAACCTCAAACTCTTGGTCTTAAGTTATCCTTTTGCCTCAGCCTCCCAAGTAGCTGGGACTATAGGCGCTGGCCACAACATCCAGCTATGTTTTTAGAGATGGGGTCTTGCTCTTTCTCAGGTTGGTCTTGAACTTGGTAAGCTCAAGCAATCCACCCACTTTGGCCTCCTGAGTGCAAGGATTATAGATGTGAGCCACCATGTCTGGCCCAACAGTGAACTCTACGTGTACCACTGTATTCTAGCTTAAGTGACAAAGCAAGACCCTGTAAAATAAAAGTACAGTGCAGCACAGTACAATACAGTAAAATAAAATAAACAGCAAGATTCACTCAGACAAAACCACACCTTTTGGTAGAGATAGATAGAGATATAGATATATACAAGTAAAAAATGTTATAGCTAGAATTTTAAAGATTCTCCAGGCTAATACTCTTACTCAACAGATAAAGAAACTAAGATCAAAACAGTTTTAGTAACTAAGACAATGACAAAAGCATGAAGAGTTATAAATTCCTGCCTCTGCCATACGTGGTGGCACTGACAACCATCCAGCATTGCTTCTGTGACAATTCTCAGGCATTAGGATTCAAGGTCTGATCAGAAATCAAAGGGAATCTGGATAACAGAGGCCATGACATTCTTTCTGGAATCCTTAATATACAGACAAACTAGATGAAGAGAGAAGGCCTCAAGTCATCTTTACATTTGCTAATAACATCTCAGTTCAACTAATGAACCTGACAAGAAACAAGGGAAGACTTTTCTGGAATCCTTAATATACAGACAAACTAGATGAAGAGAGAAGGCCTCAAGTCATCTTTACATTTGCTAATAACATCTCAGTTCAACTAATGAACCTGACAAGAAACACAGGAGGACACCAACAGGAGTCCATCAGTCTCAGCCAGGTATGTTGCTCTCTCCATATTCTCCCCACCACTGTAAGAACAAAAATAAGTACTCTGCATTGTACAAATGCAACTTTAAAGTGTAAGTTGCTTCATATGAAAAACTGAGAACAAGGTAACCTTAATATTGTACCCTCATATTAATTTAAATAAAGTTAAAAAAAACAGAAAAAAATGTTGACAGAGGCAGGGTGTGGTGGCTCATGCCTGTAATTTCAGCTCTTGGGAGGGGGAGGAAAGTGGACTACCTGAGCTCATAGCCTGAGCCAGAGCGAGACCTTGCCTCTAAAAATAGCCAGGCATTGTGGCGGCCACCTGTAGTCCCTGATACTTGGGAGACTGAGGCAAGAGATCACTTGAGCCCAGGAGTTTGAGGCTGCTGTGAGCTGTGACACCACAGCACTATACCAACGGCAACAAAGTGAGACAGACAAAAAAATAAAATAAAATAAAATAAAATAAAATAAAATAAAACAGAATCAGTTAACTATGTCCTTTCAAACTTGTTACCTATCATTCTGTAACATTTCAACCCTGACAGATAAGAGAACTTTATAATAGCATAGGAACTATAGGCCCTTTTCATTTATCTATACCTCGTTTACCCAGTGATGACCCAGCAAACAAACAGCCAGTGGACGTCTCAGCAATGATTCTATAAAAGAAAAAAAGAAATTTTTTTCTTTTTGCTATATTTATGCTAAAAATATTCTAAAATTATAGACAAACACAACATAGGAAAACAGGTGACTGTTAAATAGGTAGAACCCCTAAATCAGGCAAGTATATTGCAAAAGTGAAATTCTTCATACAGAGAAAGCAGCATGATTAAAATTTTCCAGTGGCATTAATCAGGCCATTAGTATCTTTCAGCATTGGACCAGGAGAAGTCCCACCAGATTCTAATCTAATGGTAAGAAATGCCTGCCTCATCCCCTCCATGCTATTCCCCTCGCAGTGACCATATCATCAGCACCAAGTGGTACCATTTCACATGCATAAAGACCATAAAGTGTTTAAAGATATCATAAGAAAAAAAAAAAAGGCTCGGCGCCTGTGGCTCAAGTGGCTAAGGCACCAGCCATATACACCTAAGGTGGCAGGTTCGAATCCAGCCTAGGCCGCCAAACAACAGTGATGGCTGCAACCAGAAAAAAAAAACAAACCAGGCGTTGTGGCAGGCGCCTGTGATCCCAGCTACTTGGGAGGCAGAGGCAAGGAGACTTGTTAAGCCCAGGAGTTGGAGGTTGCTGTGAGCTGTGATGCCATAGCACTCTACCCAGGGGGACAGCTTGAGGCTTTGTCTCAAAAATAAAATAAAATAAAATAAAAACAAAGATATTGTAAGTAAAAAGGTCCTTCTGCAAGGACTTTGGTTTTGTTCTATAGCTTTTAGATATTATTATAAGCAGAATAATCCTATTAAACCCTTTAACAGAAATTCTGAATAAGAAGATTTGAAATTTAAATATCCACAAACAATACTTTTATACTTCAAAAAAAATCAATTTAATAATTGTTATAACATTTAAATCGGTAATTCCATATTGGAATAAAGTAATAGTTCTATACCAGTTTTAAAGAGATTTTTGCCATATATAATATTTACTTGTAAGTTGATTTCACACTTGAAGTATTTAAGCAACTGGAAATGTTTCTTAATATGATTAGCTTTAAAGCCTAACATCTGATTAGCAAAGACATTTAAGCAAAAGGGATCTTACAATGTAATAAAAAACAACCCATCTGTAGAAAAAACTCAACATAATTGTCTTAATTTGTCATACTGCTATTTTAGGTATGAAAGCTCTTAAAAAGATTAATCTAAACTTCTTAAAACTATAAATTTAAGCAAAAGAACTATAAATCTTTCAATTAAATGGGGTAATTATTTCAGGGCTCTCACCCAGTGTCTAGGAAAAAGTATTATCTCACATTATTCCATTTCCATTGCCATATGCTTGGTCTTTAGGTTCTTGAACAGGCTGGATGTTAACATACAAATCCCTGATTTCCTTTCTGATGCATCTAACAGCTGCTGCTGCCATATCTTTTGCTACCTATTTTGATGAGACAGAAAAATAAAATAAAATAATTACTAATTATTTGAAAAATTGTTTTCAAGCTCTCAAAGACACATAAAACAATAACTTTTACATGCACTTAATAACTTGATTTTTAAAGGATAAAGCACTAATTTTTAAGAAAAATCTTACATGTAATAATAATTTTTAAAAAATTTAGCCAGGCACGGTGACTCACACCTATAATCCCAGAACTCTGGGTGGCCAAGGTGGGTAGATTGCCTACGCTCGTGAGTTTGAGACCAGCCTGAGCTAGAGCAAGACCCCATCTCTAAAAATAGCCAGGCACTGTGGTGGGCACCTGTAGTCCCAGCTACTCGGGAGGCTGAGGTAAGAGAATCACTTGAGCCCAAGAGTTAGAGGTTGCTGTGAGTTGACACCAGGGCACTCTACTGGGGGTGACAAAGTTAGACTTTGTCTCAACAAAAAAAAGGATTTCAAAATTTAGATGACATAATACTTATTAAGACATACGTGTACTTCTAAGAATCTCTAAACAACTTACTTTAAATGGCAAAACACCAGCAACAAAAGATCTTCCATATATCTTAGTCACAGTGCCACGGTCGGTTAAATTTATTGGGTTCAATTGTTTAACTGGTGACATTCGGACAATCACTTCACCACCACCTTTTGGGTAATACCCCCTATGAAAAATATAACAAACAGCCACATAAACTGATTGCATGACAAAATAAACCTCATCATTACAACAAAATGACATGTGAATGATATTAAAACATGTAATTTGTGTTTAATTATCTAAAACTCTAATATTTTAGGTCTGTGCTATAAGCTAGGCACAACTATAGGAAAGATCTAAAACGCTAAATAATATTTTAAGTCTGTGCTATAAACTAGGCACAACTATTAAAATTAAAGAAAATTTTAAAATCTAAGCCAGCTATGGTGGCTCATACCTGCAATCCCAGTACTTCAAGAGGATGAGGCAGGAGGATCGCTTGAGGCCAGCCTGGGCAACATAACAAAACCCAGACTGGGGCTCGGTGCCTGTGGCTCAAGTGGCTAAGGCACCAGCCACATACACCTAGGGTGGCAGGTTTGAATCCAGCCCGGGCCCACCAAACAACAATGGCTGCAACCAAAAAATAGTCGGGCCAAGTTGTGGTGGGCACCTGTGGTCCCAGCTACTTGGGAGGCTGAGGCAGGAGACTCGCTTGAGCCCAGGAGTTGGAGGTTGCTATGAGCTATGATGCCACAGCACTCTACCCAGGGGGACAGCTTGAGGCTCTGTCTCAAAAAAAAAAACCCAGACTGGGGCAGTGCCTGTGACTCAAAGGAGTAGGGCGCTGGCCCCATATGCTGGAGGTGGCCGGTTCAAACCCAGCCCCAGCCAAAAACTGCAAAAAAAAAAAAAAAAAAAAATTAAAAAATTAGCCAGGTAGGCGTGGTGGTACGTGCCTGCAGTCCTAGCTACTTATGAAGGAGTTCAAGGCTACAGTGAGCTATGATCATTCCACTGTGCTCCTCTTTGGGCAACAGAGCAATACCCTCTGTCTATATAAATAATTTTAGAAATCAGCTCCATTAGCCTCATTTCAAGTGCTTAAGTCACATTTGGCCAGTAACTACCATACTGGACAACACAGACAGGGAATACTTCCCTCAGTGCAGAAAGGTCTATCTGATAGTACTGTCTGAGATTATAGGTTCCTTGATAGACAAATCTATTTCTTTTGTTCCTGCTATTTTTCTGTATCTAAAATAATGTCTGGTATATGGTAGGTACTCAAATAAATATATTAATATTTAAGTAGCTGAACACTACCAAAATTTTAACTCATTTATTTATTTCACTTGCTCTATAGCAGGTACTAAGAACCACAGTGCTCCTCTCCTCCAGGAGCTCACCATGTGGTAGGGGATGATCCCACACATTAACCCCTAGAACACAAGGCAGGCTGGGAGGAAGACTGCACACTGGTGCGAACATGAACTCCGGGGGAGGTACATACACATAAGAAACGGCAAGCTTCACTTTGAGAAAAAACGTAAGATTTCTAATTTTTTAGATAGCAGGAAAAAAATAACTTGAACAAAGACAAAGTCCAAAGGAATAGCGAGCAATTAGTAATATGTATGTAGTTAGAATACATGGTATGTTGAAAGAAGGGAAGGGACGATGAAGCTAAAAAGATGAGTCAGAGTTAAGTCTGTAAAGCACTCAAATGCCATGCCAAGAATTTGGTCCCTGTTACTGTGCAGGCTTAAAGAGAAATAACCTGAATGCCCAATGTGTTTCTCAGGAAAATAATTTTGATCACATTGTGGAAGAGAATCTTTTTGTTTGTTTTGTTTTGCTATTGCTGGCAGCAATTGCCTTTTTTTTTTTTTCAAATTTCAGATTATATGAGGGTACAAATGATTAGGTTACAATGTTTGCGTTTGTTAGGTGAGGTCCCTGTTGTAGTTGTGTCCTGCATCCAAGAGGTATCCCATCTACCCTACATTGCGCACATTTGGTGGGAACACACAGATCTCCCACAGATTGAATTAACTTGAGTTTTTCTCTTGTGTGGGTGTGTAGTAATTTGTCTACTGGCTTCCTGTTAGTTCTAGGTACACTAAATACTTTCTTTTCCATTCTTGTGATACTTTACTAAGGAGAATGTTCTCCAACTCTATTCAGATTTATACAAAAGATGTAAAGACTCAGAGAATCCCTTTCATAACCCCATAGTGCCTAGTCCAGCCGTCCGCACGTAGAGAACACTTAACTTGTGCTGAGGCATGGAACATTAATAATGAAGCTGACGCAATGTGCAAATTCCCTGAAAAATATTTCCCTAAGAAACAAATGAATATCATGTGTAATATTTTTAAGTCCCCATCCCCTGCTGTTTATTGTCTTTAAGCCATAAAGTACAATTATTTTCTACAAGAATTGTATTTAGTGGGTTCCAGAATGACACTTCTCTAAAGTCTATCTTTCCCACTAGTTTTTAGCACAGGTAATGAATCAAATGGGCTAGGAAAATAGGTAACTTACCTCATTTTAATGTCACAATTAAATTGGAAACCAAATTTTTCAACAATTGGCTTGAAAACCTGAAAGATCAGTTCACCACTATGTTAGCCACTAATATTCACCATTTCAACAACAAATATTATTTACTAAATAAAAGTGCTCTGCTTATGTAGGAATTAGGCATTGTAGTTGCCTAATGGTGCAACTATAGTTGCATATTGTGACATAAGAATATATGACTAGTTCTATTTTCTTTCTTTCTTTTTTTTTTTTTGGAGACAGAGTCTCACTTTATCACCCCTGGTAGAGTGCTGTGGCATCACATAGCAATCTCCAACTCCTGGGCTTAGGCGATTCTCTTGCCTCAGTCTCCCAAGTAGCTGGAACTACAGGCGCCTGCCAGAACACCCAGCTATTTTTTGTTGAAGTTTGGCCAGGGCCGGGTTCAAACCTGCCACCATCAGTGTATGGGGCCGGCGCCCTACTCTCTGAGCCACAGATGCTGCCCAGACTAGTTCCATTTCCAAATGAAAAAACTGATATGTAGCTAAATTTAAAAATTCAACATAATCAGGGATTTACAAGTATATCCAACAAAAACAACAAAAAAAATTCAGAATTCAGGAAACGTCATCTCAGTAGTTATTTTACCCCAGAAGCCAAAATTTCCCAAGGAGACCTAACCCATCTCAACATAAAACACTATAAGAAACTGGGGAATGTTGGTGAACAGCATTTCATACTGTCTTTTCAATGTTTTTATATATAGTAATTGAAATGTCACTGTACATAAAATGTTTTATTTTTGTTTTTCTATTTAACAATACAAACATAAGCATTTTCCTGATATCATAAAATTATTGCTAAAAAAATCTGAATGATTGCATGGCATTCTAACATAATTTATGTAACCATTCTCCAAGTTTTCATTTATTATGTAATGATAATTACAGAATATAATGCTGTGCTCAGATACCTTTAATATTTATCTTTTGCTGCAATTTGTGATATTTAATTAGAGTATTTCCTTAAAGTTAAATTACTATGTAAAAAGTGATTAGGGCAGCACCTGTGGCTCAAAGGAGTAGGGTGTCAGCCCCATATACCAGAGGTGATGGGTTCAAACCCAGCCCCAGCCAAAAACTGAAAAAAAAAAAAAAAAAAAAAAAAGAGAGATTAATTTTCTTTTTTTCAGAGATAGAGGCTTACTTTGTCACCCTCGGTAAACTGTCGTGGGGTCACAGCTCATAGCAACTTCCAGCTCTTGGGCTTAGGCAGTTCTCTTGCCTCAGCCTTCCCAATGGCTGGGACAACAGGCGCCGCCACAACACCCGGCTATTTTTTGTTGCAGTTTGGCCAGGGCTGAGTTTGAACCCGCCACCCTCAGTATATGGGGCAGGAGCCCTACTCACTGAGCCACAGGCACCACCCAAGAGAGACTAATTTTCATCAGACTTCTACATCCCATCAAAGTGACTTTAAAAGATTATACCATGTAATACAGTAATTTTCAACCAGTGTGCCCTGAGAAGATCTTAGGTATGTGGTGAAAATTTTTAAAGATCTTTAATTAAATTATTTTTGAAAGACGTTCGAAGCACAGTTAAGTATACTCTTTTTTTTTTTTTTTTTTTTTTTTTTGAGACAGAGCCTAAAGCTGTCGCCCTGGGTAGAGTGCTGTGCCATCACAGCTCACAGCAACCTCTAACTCCTTGGTTTAAGTGATTCTCTTGCCTCAGCCTCCCAAGTAGCTGGGACTATAGGCACCCGCCACAATGCCTGGCTATTTTTTGGTTGTAGTTGTCATTGTTCTTTGGCAGGCCCAGGCTAGATTTGAACCTACCAGCTCCGGTATATGTGGCTGGCACCTTAGCCACTTGAGCTACAGGCACCAAGCCTCTTTACTCTTTTTTTTTTGATCAAGATAATTTAAGTTTGCCATGGAAGTTTAACTGTAGGCTCAAGTGTGCTATAACACAAAAAAGGTTGAAAAACGCTATTAGAAATATTTCTGAGAAAAAGTGATATTTAAACTTGAAGTCTAAAGAATCTCTTGGGGCGGCACCTGTGGCTCAAAAGAGTAGGGTGCCACCCCATATGCCAGAGGTGGTGGGTTCAAACCTAGCCCTGGCCAAAAAAAAATAAATAAAGAATCTCTTCAAGATCTACTTAGAAATATTTACTCATTTGTCTGAGTTATTTTCCATGTAATACAGGAGGTATGTATGTGATTAAACTTCTATTTATTAAAAATGAAGGGCAGATCATCATTAAAAAATTAAAACCTAAGAATATTAAGTGAAGGTAAGATGTAGAAAAGTTGGAACTCTCATACAGTGCTGATGAAAATGTCAAATGATGGGGCGGTGCCTGTGGCTCAAAGGAGTAGGGCGCTGGCCCCAGATGCCCGAGGTGGCCAAAAACTGAAAAAAAAAAAAAAAAGAAAATGTAAAATGATATAGCCACTTGGATGCCAAAACAATTTGGTAATTTCTCATAAAGTTAGACACCCACTTGCTATAACAACCTAGCAATCCACTTCAAACCTAGCCCTGGCCAAAAACTGAAAAAAAAAGAAAATGTAGAAGGATATAGCCACTTTGGATGACAAAACAATTTGGTAGTTTCTCATAAAGTTAGATACCCACTTGCTATAACAACCTAGCAATCCACTCCTAAGTATTCACCCAAGAGAAAAGAAAAAACTTGGCTCGGAGCCTGTGGCTCAAGCAGCTAAGGCGCCAGCCACATACAACTAAGGTGGCGGGTTCAAATCCCTAGCCCAGGCCCTCCAAACAACAACGATGGCTGCAACCAAAAAATGGCCAGGTGTTGTGGCGGGTGCCTGTAGTCCCAGCTACTTGGTAGGCTGAGGCAGAAGACTCGCTTGAGCCCAGGAGTTGGAGGTTGCTGTGAGCTGTGATGCCATAGCACTCTACCCAGGGGGATAGCTTGAGGCGCCGTCTAAAAAAAAAAAGAGAAAAGAAAAAACTTGTACATAAATGTTAATAGGGACTTTATTCATAATTATCCTAAACTGGAACAACCCAAATATCCTTCAGTAGATGAATGGATAAAGAGACTGGTATATCCATATAACAACATGGATGAATATAGCAACATGGATGAATCTCACATTTATTATGGTAAGAAAAAAAAAACATACTCAAAGCTACATACAGTGTTACACCTTTATAGGACTCTTTGAAAAAATGGCAAATGTATGAGAGAAAACAGATCAGTAGTTACCACAGTTGTGGGGGCAAGACTGATTACAAAGGAGTATGAAGGAATTTTTTTACAGTGATGTAACTGTTCTATATCTTGATTATGGTAGTTAGTTCACAACTGTATGTTTGTCAAAAATCATGGAACTGGGTTAGGTATGGTGGCTCACACCTGTAGTCCTAGCACTTTGGGAGGCTGAGGCAAGAAGATTCCTTGAGGCCAGGAGTTCAAGACCAGCCTGAGCAACATAGATTCCATCCCTATCAAAAAAACCAACCAAGCAAAAAAACTAAAAACTCTTTCTACATGGAAAAAAATCACAAAATTGTACATTAAAAAGGGTGAATTTAATTAGCTGGGCATAGCGGTGCACACCTATAATCCTAGCTTAGGAGAATGAGGCACAAAATTCTCTTGAGCCCAGGAGTTCAAGGCTGTAGTGAGCCATGATCACACCACTATACCCTAGTCTGGGTGACAGAGCAAGACCTTGTCTCAATCAATCAATAAAGATGATGAAATTAATTATAAATAATGATATCTCACTAAGCCTGGAGAAAAAAACATCATACAACTTTTCTCTCCCACTAGTTGTACGGACATGCCAATATTGAGTTTTATCATTTTTAAAATGTTTGAGTTTTCCTCCAAATCATAAGCCCTGTATGTATTTTTAAAAACCTATAGGCCGGCTCGGCGCCTATAGCTCAACTGGCTAAGGCGCCAGCCACGTACACCTAAGGTGGCGGGTTCGAATCCCCAGCCCGGACCCGCCAAACAACAATAATGGCTGCAACCAAAAAATAGCCGGGCGTTGTGGCGGGCGCCTGTGGTCCCAGCTACTTGGGAGGCGGAGGCAGGAGACTCGCTTGAGCCCAGGAGTTGGAGGTTGCTGTGAGCTATAATGCCATGGCACTCTACCCAGGGGGACAGCTTGAGGGTCTGTCTCAAAAAAAAAAAAAAAAAAAAAAAAACCTATAGGCCGAGCACAGTGGCTCACCCCTGTGACCTTAGCACTCTGGGAGGCCAAGATGGGTGGATACCTTGAGCTTACAAGTTTAAGACGAGCCTGAGCAAAAGCGGGACCCTATCTCTACTAAAAATAGAAAAACTGAGGCACTTGAGCCCCAGAATTCGAGGTTGCTGTGAGCTATGATGCCATGGCACTCTACCTAGGGCAATAGCTTGAGGCTCTGTCTCATAAATACAAAAACAAAAACAAAACCCTTCTATAAAACTGATATAATTTGTATAATAATCATACTTGAGGTTTTAGAATTTGCTATGAACACTCCTCTAAGATGAAATTAAAAAACTAAAGTAAATATAATCCCTCATCCTTTCCCTCAGTTGAACTGGACACTGTGAAGAAATAAACAGGAATGTATACAGAAACACTCAAGATACATTTAAACAGAGAATGGAAATTCAGAAGACTACATAAGATCTCAGTTTGTCTACAATAAAAGGCCTTACCATTACTGTGTAATCGACCTGTGGTGCCATTTCAGCATTAGTTCCACCTTTTAAACGAAGTTCTGATGGAGAAGCAGCAAAGAGAACACAGGGCATTGAGACCTGCATTAAGAGGCACACGCTCCTAAGGAGAAGGCAAAACAGGCTTAGCTTTATTTTCTTTTCAAAGTCCCCAAAAAGCTGTATTATTTGCTCATCACTACTAACTGAAGCATAGACAACTGAGAAGGCAGGTACATGTTCTAGAGTTTAAAGTTAAAAAACACTTAGATATCTGAATGGTAAAATCATGAATCTCAAAGACAGATGGCCAGGTGCAGCCGCTTATGGCAGTAGTATCAGCACTTTGGGAGGCCAACATGGGAGGAATGCTTGAGTGATGAGTAGTTCAAGATTAACCTGGGTAACACACACAGCTAGATCTCGTCTCTACCAAAAACAAAAAACTAGTAGCAGTTTATGAAAATGCATTCAAAACAGTAAAGATATAGAAATATTCTTTTTTTTTGGGGGGGGAGACAGAGTCTCACTATGCTGCCTTAGATAGAGTACCGTGGTGTCACAGCTCACAGCAACCTCAAACTCTTGGGCTTAAGCAATTCTCTTGCCTCCGTCTCCAAAGTAGCTGGGATTACAGGTGCCTGCCACAATGCCTGGCTATTTTTGTTGTTGTTGTTGTAGTTGTCATTGTTATTTGGCAGGCCAGGGCCAGGTCTGAACCCACCAGCCCTGGTGTATGTGGCCAGCGCCCTAACCCCTGAGCTACGGGCACCGAGCCTATAGAAATATTCAGTTGATTTTATCTGACTTGCTACCTTTTCCAAGTATCAAGATATAGTTCCTACTACTGTGAAATTTATGATATAATAGAATATTTTATTATACAAAGACTGATACTGACTATTTCACATGGAAAGGATGTAGGAAAATAATCCTTGCTTTACTTGCCTGTTTGGGAAATCATGAGAAATAGTCATGTAATGTGAAGAATTTTATAAAGGAAAATTTGGCCATATTTTTCTAAATGAGCTGTTATCTTCCTTCTTTTCCACAGGTAAGAGAAAGCCATCATATTCCTAAATAGACTGCAGTTTAAAAAGGAATTCAGAGGCAGTGCCTGTGGCTCAAAGGAGTAGGGCGCCGGCCCCATATGCCAGAGGTGGCAGGTTCAAACCCAATCCCAGCCAAGAAAAAGACTGCAAAAAAAAAAAAGGAATTCAATATAACCTCTGCCAACCAAAAGATAGATCTTTACATTTAACTTGCTTACCACAATGATGTATACGTACTTAACTAAAAGGCACTATTACTGATAATGAATTTTATTAATTCAATAAATATTTATTGACCGTAATATGTTTGGCATTGTAAGAGAAAAACGTATGCCTTATAATCTCTGTTCTCAGGAGTTGAGCTCAGGAGCAAATTTTCAAAATTTGGAAATGTGTAGCTTATTATAAACCATAGGCTTTTAACAACTGGACTTCTCATTGTTTATTCCGAGTAACCCGACATATATTTTTCTCATTAAAATCAGGTTCTGGGGCTCGGCGCCTATAGCTCAACCGGCTAAGGCGCCAGCCACGTACACCTAAGGTGGCGGGTTCGAATCCCCAGCCTGGACCCGCCAAACAACAAT